AGACACTGAGTGACTCAGCCCTCAGTTAATTCTGACTGGTAAATGAAGCTGCCAGCAGCCAATAGGTGGGCAGAAGAGACATAGGTGGGGTTGAGGTTTCATGGGCTTGGGGAGAGAGTGACCATTTTAGAGGTCACTCAGTATAGTGCTTAATTTTTTCCTTCCATAATCCCCTCTCATCTGAAGATTTTAGTAGGAAGAAGCTGCCATGGGGTAGAAGAACGTGCAGGAGAGGAGAAAGGAGAGTTCAGGCCTGCGTGCTGCCTAATTGACGCTCAGAGCATCCCAAACGGAGCATAGTAAGTAAAATCTCAGGTTATCGGAGGGAAGCAGAGTCTAACAACATGGAGGGTAGGCAGCTGCCGGCTATTGTGCTGCTTATTGTAAATACAAAGGTTAACTGTGTCTTTCTTCTGGAAGCTCAATAACCAAAGGTGGGGTAAAGAAGCCCTAGGCTGGGATTTTTGATATTTTTACTATGGGAGCCCTCAAAACCCCTTCTCACAGTAACACACTTCCTCCAACAAGGCCACACCTCCTGATAGTGCCACTCCCCATGGGCCAAGCATATTCAAACCACCACAACTTACATAGCATTTCAATTTTCTTATTTATTTTTGAGAAAGGGTTTCACTATGTGTAGCCTATCTGGCCAGGAACTGAAGTTAAGGTTCCTGCCTCAGCCTTCTTAGATAGGGTTACAGACATGTCCCATGAACAGAGGTCACTGTTTCTGGTTGGCTCCTCTTCCTAGGTTGGGAGGATGCTCCTGGACTCCAGAGGCACCAGAGCATCCTGGGAAGCAGTAGGAGCGGCCCTCCTTGCTTGCGGACACCCATGAAGAGGATTTTGATTCTTCAGCTTGGCTCAACCTCAGGCTTTGTCTCTATTTCTCTAAGGCGCCTCTCACCGTCTACGCCTCTTGTCAGCTAACCTCAGCTCACACTTCTGCACTGAGTTAGTGTCCCTTGCTCTGGTAAACTTTCCTGTCCCTAGACTCAGCTATTGAGTCTGCTTCCTTGTAAGACTGTAGATGTTGGGACAATATCTAGCAGGTCTGCTGTGAGTCCCACAGCCCAGGCCAGACTCCAGATACACAGTAGATATATGCTGTGTGAACCACCGCTCCCCTCTTGGCTGAAGGCTAGGCCACTTTCTGAGTCACTCACTGAGGAGACGGCCTTCACCTTGCCCTGCCACTCCCTGCCTAAAGATGCAGAAAGGCCGGCTGTGCCCAGTTTGTGTGTATTTAACCCAGGTGACAAATGTCATAGCTGAATGGTAGCATTGGCTCGGCAGGTTGTCCTCATTTACAGTGTACCGCGAGCGGCAGAAGGTACGATTCCTTGTCTCCAGCTCTGACTCTCATTTCTGTTGAAGAATCAAAATCCTCTTCACGGGTGTCCACAGGCAGGGAGGGCTTACCAGGATGCTCTGGAGCCTCTGTATCCAGGAGTGTCCTCCCAACCTAGGAAGAGGAGCCAACCGGAAACAGTGACCTGTGCAGCCAGGAAGGCCTTCTGCCCGAGCCCTAGGCCTCACAAAGAAGTTGCTGGTATTTGCAGCAACACCATGGAGGGAGGAGATCTGTTTCTGCTTTTGACCTGGAAACATGGATGCTATTCACTGAAAATCATGTGTTCCTGATGTTCACTAACTTATTTGCAAAGAACCAAAAATGTTTCATTTATTATTTTTAAAAATTAGGCCAAATGAGTTCTGATCTTTTATTGTTGGGACAGAGACCAAACTCACACCCAGGAACACTGTTAGCAGCTGGGTGATATGGAGCAGAGCTAGGCAAAAGGACAGAGATAGAAAGACAGACAGAGGGGCGGCAGGTAGAGTGTGGGACTGCAGACCTTGAGGCATGGTGCCATGGCCTCCCCCTATCCCCACTCACTCCCTGTCCCTGCACACTTTGCCAAGTGACCTAGTTTAGTTCTCCCATTCTCTTGGGGTTTGAGTGTTTGCCCCTTGACAGCTGCAGGTCCTTGCTGGGCTCCTGAACTGCACAGTACCTCAGCTCCTCCCAAGAAGGAGGTAGAAGGGCACCTGTCTCCAGCCATGGCTTTGGCTGGGTGACCAATGACCTAATGTGAAGATGTTTATGACAGTTGGACCTAACTATTTTTTTAAGTTTACAATGATGCAAAAGCAATATGCATTCAGTAGGAACACAGTATAATAAAAAAGTTTAATAATTTTTCAGTGGTTTAGTCCCTGTCCTCCATTTGCTGTGATAAAAATATTTCAAGGAAAGCAACTTAAAGGAGACGAGTCAGTCGGTGGTGGTGAGAAGTCCAGGTCACAGGCGTGTGAGGCAGCTCATCCCATCCCTTCTCAGGAAACGGAGAATGATGCACACTAGCGCTCAGCCTACTTCTGACATCTTCTACAGGCCCGGTCCCAGCCAGGGAATGGCAACACCCAGAGTGGGCAGGCCTTCCCAGATCAATCACTGCAGTCAGGATAGCATCCACAGGCACGCTCAGAGGCCCATCTCTCTTATGAGTTCAGATGCTGCCAACTTGACAATTAACACTAGCCATCACAAATAGGTGTCAGTACATGGTCCAGCCCTCCCTGAGACTGTGGGCAGTGGAAGCTTGCAGTTAGCTGCTGGACGATGATACTACCACATGCTGTCTCTCTAAGCTAGGAAACACACTTTAAATGCACTAACCACTTACTGTGTTCCCAACTTAACTTAGATTTATGAGGAATTAATCTCACCACAAATTGAGTAGTATTCTTCCACAAAGTTGTAAGAAATATTTAGCCTAAAGTAATATTTGTAAATTATTAATCATAAGCCCCAAACTTACTCCATATAAGTCATCCAAGTAAGCATATCAATAAGGCTAGATAAACACTTTGTGACAGAGCTACACAGTGGAATACTACTCAGCAATGAAAAAGGAGACACTTTATAAAATGCAGTACCACTAAGCAAAAATAAATAAATAAAAATTAAAAAAGAAGTGCAAACTCTGTATATAAACTAGAGGAACCTCTAACTATGCTACGCAGAGGGACCTAGGTCATACAGTACACACTGCCTGATTCCACTTATATTAAAAAAGTCAAACTAATCCACATGACAAAGCATATGAGCTGTTACTTGTGCTGAGGGAGGTGGGAGGGACCGGGAGACCTGAGTCTGGGACTGACCGGGTGGAAGGAGAGAACAGAGTTCTGTGTGTTGTCCTGTGACTCTGACACATTCTAATAAATACAGTACGAATGAATAAATCTAACTTTAAAATAATGTAAAAGTGCCAAAGGCATATCAATAAAGTGATGGTACAAATATGATTATTTTTATTTTTTAAAAATTATTTTTATTATTTTATGTGTATGGGTATTTTGTCTGAATGGGTGTCTGTGCTGTGCACATGCCTGGTGCCCAAAGAAGGTAAAAAAACATCAGATCCCCTAGAACTGGGGTTACAGACAGGTGTGAGCTGTCATGTGGATGCTGGGAATTGAGCCCATGTTTTCTAGAAGAGAGGCGTGCTCTTACACTGGCCCATCTTTCCAGCTTTCCAAACGTGGTCGTTGAAGAGGAGGTCTCAGGGCATTGGCTGGAGCATCAGACCACTTGCTTCTTTTCCCTGATTGACCACTTGCGAATTCTGCCATCAGGATACGGAGAGTGATGGGGAGAGTGATGGATAACACTGGTGCGAAGCTGACTCGTCTTTAGTTCCTTCCGGTCCACAGTCCATGGTGTCACTCAGTCTGTTGACAGACAACTCACAGGTGTACCCAGAGGTTTAGCTCCTAGGTGATTCTAAGTCCCATCAAATTGGCAATCCATTTTAACCATAGTCACAAGTTAATAGAATTAATACCAACAGTGAAAACCCAAGAAGTTGGTGAAAGATCCTGGGAACAAAGATTCTTAAGAACCCAGCGACAGAGAGAGGTATCTAGTCTAGAACAGTGCTTCCCCAGGTCAGAGAGACCCAGGCCACTTCCATGTTTTTGATTTCCTATTACTGGAGAAAGAAGACTTTAAAAAGATAAAACAATAACAAACCACCAAAGCAGTGTTACATATGGACGGAATACTATGATACATTTTTACAAAGTTAAGACAAAAACAAAACAAAACAAAAAACAAAAGACCCTGAGCCTAATGCCACTGTGATGGTTATAGAGTAGTTTCTTCTCTTTCTTTCTTTTTTTTTTGTTTTTTGTTTTTTGTTTTTTTGTTTGTTTGTTTGTTTGTTTCGAGACAGGGTTTCTCTGTGTAGTCCTGGCTGTCCTGGAACTCACTCTGTAGCCCAGGCTGGACTCAAATTCAGAAATCTGCCTGCCTCTGCCTCCCAAGTGCTGGGATTAAAGGCGTGCACCACCACTGCCCGGCTATAGAGTGCTTTCAAGGGGTACCCACTTCCTAATCTTAATCCACAGTATACTGTAGCCAGCGCTGGGATGATGGGAAACTCCCAAATCATCAAGGCACACTCCGTAGAAAATGCCAGAATTCCGGTATGAGGCGGGTCTGAATGCCACTTCATCATCTCCTTCTCTCTGGAAGTGGACAGACATTCTGTTGGTCACAGACACTAGACCTGGCCCTGAAGCGGCCCCTAGAGAAGCTGTTCCCTTAGACAAGCTGCCTGGCTCTGATGATTTGGGGCAGGGTTGGGTCAGTGACTTTCTGGCAGTTGTATAGAATGTTCATTTGGCTGGAGCCACGATTCTTAACTTCTGCGGGTTCAAGGAGCCCTCTGAAAAAGAATCCGACGCCCTCCCTCCCTCCCTGCCCCACAGAGGCACGCTTTCCTCTAAACTTCCAGCGCCTGGCCTCCAGGGTAACACTGGCCTGAGAGCTTCTGGTATTCCTGGGGTCCCTCTGAACCCTGCGTCTCTAGTCCAGCCTGAGAACCAACCTGAGGACAGTGGAGGGGGGCAGGGCGGGGTAGGGCGGGGCCAGACGCAGGCCCCGCCCACCCTAGACCTAAGGCAGGAACGGGAGCCCTGGACCCAGCCTAGACTCTAGGCGGCACGCTGTTTGGTCATCACCAGAGCCATGAAGATGCACTTCTGCATCCCGGTGTCCCAGCAGCGCCCAGACGCGCTGGGGGGCCGCTACGTGGTGCGTCTGGGGCCCAGGGTCGGCTGGGTGGAGAGGGGCTCGGTAACCCTGCGCCCCACCCCCAATCCCCACCCTCACCTTGGATAACCGGGCAAGTGTCTGTGCTTTCAGTTGTACTCCGTGTACCTGGACGGGTTCCTCTTCTGCAAAGTACGCTACAGCCAGCTGCACCGCTGGGATGAACAGGTGAGCCCGGTGGGGAAAATGTGCCCAAGGGCTTGGATTGTGTCACTCTAAAACACACTGGTCTCTCCTCTCTGTCTCTCTGTCTCTGTCTCTCTGTCTCTGTCTCTCTCTGTCTCTCTGTCTCTGTCTCTGTCTCTGTCTCTGTCTCTCTCTCTCTCTCTCTGTGTGTGTGTGTGTGTGTGTGTGTGTGTGTGTGTGTGTGTGTGTGTGTGTGTGGTGGAGAAGGGCTGGATACAGGCTCCTGATCTGCAAACTACAAGCACTCTTTAATCCCAGAGCAATCTCCTATACCAACATCTCCAACATCAAGTCAGCCTTAGAACATGAACAGATGAATAGGACCATAACGACCAGTTGCAAAGTCACCTCCTTCCCCTGGCTTTTTGTGCTCACAGCCCTCAGACCAACCCCGAGTAGAGTCAACTGGGACAAGTGTCCTTTGTTCAGGTTCTAGTTCTAATGTGGTCTCTTCTGGCCCATATCTCCAAGTCCCTTTGTTAGCAAACCCAAGACTCACGAGCTAAAGGGTCACACTCAATGCAGACTGGCTTGTGGCAGCTAATCAGAAAGTGTCACAAAGTGACTCAAAAGCATCTTATGCAATCTAGGGGGGGTTTCTGGGAGACTCCGGGGCTTGAGAAGGGACTGGTCCAGGAGCTATCTTCCAAGCAGAGGATGTGACAGTGGCAGACAGGAGCAGGAGGTAGGAATAGGCAAAGGGAAAGATAAAAGCCAGGCAGAGTGGCACATCCCTGTAGTCTTAGCCCATGGGAGACGGAGGCAGGGGGATAGAGAATTCAAGACCAGCCTGGGCTACACAGACTTGTCTCAGAGCAAAAAGAAAAGGGTGTAAGGTGTGTAAGAACCATATTAGCTCAGAATGAAGAAGGAGCTGGGGAGGCTGGCGCCTGGCAGGAGGGGCACCCGAACAATTACAAGGCTTTCAGCGTTCCCTCTTGCCGAAGCCCTGTGCAATCCTGGGCCCTACAGCTGACATTGCCTTCACAGGCTTCTCCAGAGCTGCGGAAAGCATCGAAGGCAAATCACAGGGGCATCAGTCAGACAGGCTGTATTTATCTGAAGGCACAAAAGGCTGAGCTGGCCAGCGTTTCACACAGCAGACATTACCAGGGTTCAACATGGCAGGGGGTGGGGGGGTGGGGGGGAGCTGCAGCCCTTGAGGGGGGTTCCCTGGGGACAGGGCTGCAGCTGACCGTGTCAGAGAGCATGGGTCACATGTCACCTCACAAAGACTCACAAAGGGTGAGTCTTTTATGAATTACCCTGGCTGATGAGAGCTGAGGAACCTGGATAGGAACCCCTTCTTAATCTTACAGGTGTCTAATACATGGGATATAAAGTCAATTATTTTATTTTTATTTTTGAGACAGTCTTCCTATGTAGCTCTGGCTGTCCTGGACCTCACGATGAGAGGTTCTCCTGCCTCTGCCTCCCAAGTACTGGGGTTAAGGGTGTGTGCTGCTATGCCTGGATAAATTCAATTCCTACATCCAAAACCCATTCTAGCAATGTTACAACCTTTATTTAACATAATACACATATAGTAAAAGCTTCACACAGAGCTTGTAAGGAAATAAACTGGCAAGAACTTTATACCCCCTTCTACATATACATAGCCTTTCCTTTTTATAGCACCTTGTATTTGGTCAGACTAATAAGTATTTGGGGCTAACAAGATGGCTCAGCGGCACTTGCTGCAAAGCCTGTTAACTTGAGTTCAATTCCAGGAACTCACATGTAGAAGATCACCACCTCCTGCAAATTGTCCTCTGACCTCACACATGTGCCCTGCCACTTCCATGGGGGTGGGGGGGAGAAAGGGAGGAAGAGGGAGAGAAAGAGAGAGGGAGAGAGAGAAGAAAAAGAAAAAAAGATAGGAAGGAAGCAGGCTATGATGTTTAATCCCAGGATTTGGGAGGCAGAGGCAGGGGGATTTCTGAATCCAGCCTGGTCTTCAGAGAGTCCCAGGGTGGCCAGAGCTACAGAGAAACCCTGTCTCAAAACAGAACAAAAGGAAAAGAAAAGAGGAAAAAAAAACCTAGCAGAGAAGGATCTGGAAAAGCCCTTCGACTTTTGCCAGACTTGGAAAGGACACACACACACACACACACCATACACAGTCACACAAACAGACTCACTCACACACACACACATGCACACACAGACACACCCCATACACAGTCACACAAATAGACTCACACACACACACACACCACACAGTCACACAAACAGACTCACTCACACATATTCACACAGGTGCACACACGCACACTCTAGGCTGAGGGTATGGCTCACTCAGTAGCTTCCCTAGCACATTTGAGGCCCTGAGTTTGACCCCAGGTTTGTAAAGCAGGCATAGTTCAAGATCCTCCTCAGCTACATAGTGAGTTCAAGGCCAGGATAGAAAACAAACAAACAAACAAACAAAAAGAAAAAACAGAAAAAAACCTCCAACAGAGGCAGAGCCAGGGAACTGAGTTTCCCTTCTGTGCTCTTTCACAGAGGCTTTGAGACTGAGCTGAACTCTCCCAAGTCTTGGGATGCAACAGGCAAACCCGGCTGAGACTGGTGAGAGGCCTGTGTTGGTAAAATTGGACCATGGAGATGACGGTTGACTTTTGGCAGAATTTACTCAGCTCACCAAATATTTCCCATCCCCCCATCCCTGCCCCAGACTTCCTTCAACAGAAATGTCAAATTTCTTGAGGAACCTGTTCTTTGCTGTAAAACCTGCTGGGCCCTAGATTTCCCACCGTGATGACTTTTCTCACCTCTTGGCCTGAGGGGGAGGGCTCCCGAGGGGGAGCTCCCCTTGATTAAGGCAGATTAAGGTGATTTAGGCAGTCCTGCTGTCTGAAGGCTGCTGTGACTACAGCCAATTAGGGAATGTCTGTGACATTTATGTACACACGGAAAAGAAGACAATTCCCTTTTTGGTATCACTTGGTGAGCTATCAGCTAACCAAGACGCAGTTGCATGCAAAGAAGACAAATTCCTGCTTCATTGAATGATGCAGCAGAGATGCAGAATCAGTGTCCCGGCTGGTGGAGCAGCCCTGGCTGATGACAGTCGCAGCTGGGGCCCTTTTGAGTCTTTGGCATGGCAGGAGCAGTCCCCTGAGTTTAAGGGATACATACTTGCTGTGAGAATATTTGATTCCAGGATCGGATGAGAGCTGGGTCTGCAGGGATGAGGTAGGTGAGAGGCGTGGTGCATGATGGGAGCTATGCTGCCTATCAACTGACGATTGTGACCCTGTCACCTCCAGATCTTCTGATTTTCTGAGGAGAATCCAGAGCATCAGTTTTTTTAAAAATAAGCTTAATTTTTGTAGTAAAAGTCTTAGCTTATAAAAAAAAAAGTGCAGCAGTTTCCACACACCAGGCGTTCAGTTTCCTCTATTCTTTTCTTCAAACTATCGCAAAGATTTCTTTTTTGTTTTAAACACACGTGAGTGTTTTGCCTGCTTATATTTGCGCCATATGTGTGCACTCCCTCAGGTTTCAGAAGATGGAGTCAGATCCTCTGAAATCGGAGTTACAGACAGTTGTTAGCTAATGTGTGGGTGATTGGAGTTGAACCCAGGCCCTCTGGATGAACCAAGTGCTCTTAACTGCTGAGCCATCTCTCCAGCCTGGCGTCCTCTATGTTAACACCACCTTTAGTGTGTACACTTGTTACACTGATCCAGTCAGCAAGGATGGACTATTACAAACTGCACCTGTAAGTTATTAAGACTTGATTAGTTTATGTCTAATATCCACTTTCTGTCGAGGATCCAGGAGCATTCCACCTCGGTCATATCTCCTTTAGCTCTCTGACGATGGCAGTTCTCTCAGACAGCTTAGAGGGGGCTGGTCAGATCTTCTGTGGATGTCCCTCTAATTGGAGGCTTTGTTTCCACATGATGAAGAGCGAGCCGTGGGTTTTGAGGGCGAGGGCCCCAGTGGTTACCAGGGCATGTTCTACCCACATTGCCTCAGATGTCTGCCAGGCTAGGCCTCTCACTGCTGATGTTGTTCATGGCTGAGGAGACACCCATCTGGTTTTCCCACAGCAAAGCACCCCCATGCTCCCCCCCATTTAGAGTAGACTTTGGAAGGACATTGCTGTGCACAGTTGAATGGAAATTTATGTTTCCTGTTCACACACGTTATCTGGAATTATTCTACACAGAGACTGGTCTGTTCTCTCCTGTTCATTTATTCGGTGATTTAGTTAGACCGTCACGGGTCCATGGGTATTTATGCTTTGGATTATGTATCAATGCTGCTTCGTTTTATTGATCCAGTTGTCTGAGCTTTGGCCACAGGAACTTCATTTGGCTCCCATGTCTCTTTTATGTTCAGTCATTGAACACTTCCATACTTTCTGGTGCTCCAAGGTGGTCCCGGCTCTGTCTTAGAAAGAGGAATTGCTCTGTGGATCTGCGGTGACTGTCAATGAGGAATGAGACAAGTCTGGGTGTAGGAGTGCTCACTGCTGCTACAGTGTTGCTTCCAGGCCTTCCCTGCAAAGCTAGGAAGCAGACACCATGTGCTGTAGCCCAGGCTTTCCTATACCGACTTCTATGAGTGTCCACTCATATTAGTTCTTCCTCTTACTGCTGCGATAAAAGTTCAGACAGAAACAACCTAAGCAAGGAAGAGCTTATAATGACTCACGGTTTCATAGGGCATAATCCATCATGGCGTGAGGACATGGTGATGAAAGCATGCAGCTGAGACTTGTCACAGGAGCCATCCCAGGCCCAAGCCACAGTGTGGCTAACCCTCAGCACTCATTCCTAGCCACCTATTGCTACTGGACAGACTCATTTCTTGAGTCTGTATGCTGCACAGTACCGTGAGAATTAACTCACACGCCCACGGAGAACAGCTTCATCCACAGTACAGCGCTTATGCGCAGTCGGTTTTTGTGCATTCTTCTTGTGGCCCTCACACACTTCAGTCCTGTCTTACGCCATTGCTCCCTCCTTCCTTGCTCCTTCCAGGGAGGTGGTGTGGTGTGCTTGTCACGCAGTGAGAGTCTTCTGTCATGTGCTGTGTTCCATCCCGAGATTCTTCAGACTACCTAAATGACTTTTAAAAATATGTGCATTTGTCAAGCTTGTGCTGTATAGTTTAGTGTGCCTGGATGAGCGTGGAGCACCGTGCCCCAGGGGTATATGCTGGCACAAGAAGCTTTTTTGCTCTAAAATGTGTGCTTGACCTATTTAGTACTCCCCTGTCCCACAGCTCTGGTGACAAGGGACCTTTTTACTATATTTATATTTTTACTCTTTTCAGATGGTCATATAATTGAATTCATACAGTAGCTTTTTCGGACTGGTTTCTTTCACTTAGCAAGACGTATTGAAGGTTTATCTGTATCTTTTTGTGGCTAGATCATTTCTTTTCATGAATGAACAATATTCTATTGTAGGAAGGAGGTCACTATTTATTCACTCATATTTTGAAGAGCATCTTTGCAAGGTTCTAGATAAAGCAGATTTTTGGGGCACTGTTTGTTTGTTTTTCAAGACAGGATTTCTCTGTGTAGCCCTGGCTGTCTTTGAACTTGCTCATACTGTAGACCAGGCTGGCCTCAAACTCAGAGAACTACCTGCCTCTGCTTCTTGGGTGCTGGGATTAAAGGCCTATAACCCAGTTTCAAGCAGATTTTAAGAGACATGTGTGTGTGTGTGTGTGTGTGTGTGTGTGTGTGATGTGTGTGGGTGCCCTTGGAGGCCAGAAGAGGCTGTCAGAACCCCTGTTACTGGAGTTACAGGAAGTTGTAACCTGTCTGATGTGGTGCTGGGAGATGAACTCAGGCCACTGGAAGAGCAGCAAGTGCTCTTAACAGCTGAGCACCTGTGGTTTGTGTGGACATAGTCTTCAAATGAGTTCAGTAAATTGTTTCAGGTGTGATTGCTGGATTCTATAGTGAGACTGTGCTTAACACCATAAGAAATTACCAAACTGCCTTCTAATGTGGTGATAATATTGTGTATTCTCTGCAGGATATGCTTTTAAAATTTAAACCACAAAAATAAATGCTGGCATCAAATATGGGTTCTCTAGGAACTGAACAACAGCCGAGCAGTAAGCAGCAGGAAGCCGTGATTTGTTCATAGTCAGACAGTTAATAACCTTTCTATATTCAGACCAACTTTTGGCTGGTAGAAAACTGGTCACATCACTGTCCATCAAACACTTGGAATGTGGCTTGTATGACTTAGAAACTAATTTAAAATTTTTATTTCATTTGAGTAATTTAAGTGTCAATTCACTTATGAGTTTCTCACCACAAAAGCCATAGTTATGTCATTGTATTTAATTGCACCCACACAGGAGTCATAATTCTAGATCCTTGGAACGATTTTGCCTTTGTCTTGGGTGGTGAGATGCCACCAAGGATTTTGAGCAAGGCAGTGTGAGATTCCACTTACATCTCTGAAGCATTACTTGAGACACTGTGTTAGAAATAGGTAGGAGGTCACTAAGAGAAGCAGAGAGACCGCTTAGAAGGCTGCTCTCACAACTCAGGAGCCAGAAGGCAGTAGCTTGCACCAGCTCAGTGGTTATTGGAGTGGAGAGAAGTAGTCAGGTTCTCCATGTGCTTTGAAGTTAGGGACCGCATGAATTGCCAGATACACACAGTGATCATGGCAAAGGCCACTAAAGTTAAACAGAAGTTTAAGGTCTTGTCTGTTTGTGGCCTCCTTTCTCTTGCAGCTGGTTTCAGCTGGTTTCAGCTGGTTTCAGCTGGTTTCAGCTGGTTTCAGTCTTTAAGTTCTTGTAATAGTCAGGTTTCAGCACCTCTGCTTCCCAGGTGCAATGCTAACACCTGACTAGGGCTCTGACTGGTTTCCTTTACTAAAATAGTAAAATACTAATAATTATGAAGTGTGTGTGTGTGTGTGTGTGTGTGTGTGTGTGTGTGTCCTTGCATGAATGTAGGTGCCTGCAGAGGTTAGTGGACAGATCATTCTGGAGCTGGAGTTACAGGCAGGTGTGAGCTGCCTCAAGGGTGGTGGGAATAAATCTGAGTCCTCTGTAAGAGCACATGAGTATTAATGTATGTACCACCTCTCCAGTCCCTAAAAGTTGTTTTTATGTCTTCCATAAAAGTGACTGCCACCATAGTGTCCGGGTCTGTATGGTGGTAGAAGGAAAGGGCCTGCCTGGGCTTCATGTCAGTCGTATGGGACATCTGTAATTAGCACCACCCCATAGAATTGACACAGAAGGCACAATTTCAGTTTAGGTAGCCACCTTAATCAGAGTAAAAAGAGCCAAGAAAGGTGGCACACAGCTTTACTCTGACATAGAAGGTATCTAAGGAGGATCCTTGTGAGTTCGAGGCCAGCTTGGTCTACATAGCAAGTCTCAGAATAGCCAGGACTGCAAAATGAGATAATTCAAAAAAAAAAATAATCTGACTATAATCTCTGATCTTTCATATATAAAATGGGTTTAAGGAAATGCATGTTATGGTGGCAATATTATAAAAATATATCCCAGCTTCACCAAAGCAGGGCTGGAGTTAGTGTTCTGTGCTGTTGCAGGGACCACTGTGGCGTGCACACTGAGAGACGTTCTTCCAAAGGTCACTCACAGCCTCCTTCCCTTCCTTTGGCTGCCAACGAGGTTTATTTTATGTTTCTGTTTAAATAAAATGCTCTAAGACAAGGCCTTGTGTCTCCTCAGCTCTGCATTAGTGTCTCACACTGACTGTATCTTGGTGCCTTTCAGCTGAGACGGGTGTTTGGAAACTGCCTGCCCCCTTTCCCACCGAAGTACTACCTGGCAATGACTACCGCTATGGCTGCAGAGAGGAGGAATCAGTTGGAACGCTACCTGCAAAATGGTATGTGCTTGAACCATTTTATAGCTTTATTGCAACGTCACAAAAGCCATCATCATCTAGTTTTGGGTTTTACCATCATTCGGACAGAAGACTTCATGTCCATTGGCAATGATATCTGTAACTTTAATTTTTCAAACCTTACTATTAATGATGGTTCTTAAATGCTTTAACCTCCCTTCTAGGCCACCACCGACCAGAAGTAGTGGGAAAGAAAGGATATGGGGGAGGAGGGGGAAGTGGACCTATTTAAAAAGGTTCTTTGGAGTAACTCCTGTCTGTGTTGTCTGGAAATCAGTGGTTCAGTTCCCAGGTCAGCAGCCACAGCTCAATCCACTTGCAAACAGTTCATGGATACACCAGCAGTCCAGTTTGGTAAAGTCAGAATAGCAAACACGAATCAGCAGGAGTGGCATGACCTAGCAGAGACAGCCAGGCCTCGGCTTCCACATGAGTCAGCAGGAGGGACCAGGGACAACAAGAATGCCAGGAAAAGGTCTTGGCTGTGCCTCTCTCAGAGCAGCGAAGATTAGCAAAGACTCAAGACTAACAAGCATTTGGCTATGCAAGCAAGCCTGGCTCAGCCTCCGTCACTGTCCATTGAGTCCTTTTTATATTTCCTCCAAACACCACCTGTCCTCCACGAGTCTTGCCTCAGCACGTGAGTCTGTCTCAGCTGACATCACTCTGCCAATCAGCCCAAATCTGTGGAAGCAGCAAGAAGCTATGGCACACCACAGAAGCTTTTTGGTGCGTTTCTCTCTATGGAGTCCCGACAAATGGAGCGCAACTCTGCAGTGTAAGGCAGACCAATACATGCCTGTTGTTAGCCGAGAAAGCCCCTAGCATGTGATGAAACACTCACTTGATTCTTTGGGTAGACTTTACATTTTCAGATTACCAAGTGTCTCACTAAACTGACTGCGTAGACCCAACCAGCAATATGGTTTTGCTTCTTGTAATAGTTCCATCGTTTTATCCAGAGGGTAATAAGGTAACTGTGGCTTGAGTATGTGGGACTCCTGGGAGTACCACAGTCCTGAGTTGCTTCGATGGGCTCATATTGCCAAGGCCACCTCAAGGGGGCAGACTCTGTTGATTGTTTTGCATTGAGAACTCTCCCGTACACCCAGGAAGGCCACACTGCTGGGACAAGATCTCAGAGTTCCTGGGGGACGCAGTTGACAGACCTGTGCTCACTTGGTGTGCTTTCCGTATCTTTCAGTAACGGCGGATCCCCGTGTGACAAGGAGTGACATCTTCACTGAGTTTTTAACACTGGTACAGCTGGTAAGCTTGTCTTCCCTCTGCGGTCTGTCCTTTTCCAGGCACACATGCGTTCCAGAACTTGGGTAAAGTGAATTCCTTCCTAGTAGGCTGGAGGCTGCTGGCTGCTTGAATCCTACAGGGAGATAAAGTGTGTCTCGTACTTTGGTTTACAGCCTAAGCAGGTACTTTATTCTGTAGCCTGGGTGTCTCACATCCCCATGCTGATCCCAAGAGAGGAAGAGACTGAGCTGGAGTTTTAGCACTTGAATCCCCATACTGAGATGAGACCCAGTGGCTATAGCCGAGGTCTCCAAAAGCACCATAGTGCAGACATTGGGGCAGGAGGCCATGCTGGCTGCTACCTGCCTGTCTTCCTAACTTTACTGCTCACAGACAAGAGCCAGCCTGAACAATGTGGCCTAAGGCAGCCCTTTTCCAGGGACTCTCAAAGGAATCACAGGTCCTTCATGGCGCAGGCTGAAAGTTTGGTAAGCCATTTGCTTAGCTAACCTTTCTCTCCTTTGCACATGTGCAAGCATTTGTGCCTGTACCTGGGACCTTAACTGACCAGAAAGGGAGTGGAATTACACAGTAAGAAGCTTATTATTGGACCAGACTCCTGTATCAATTACCTTCACACTGCTATGACCAGAATACTTGACAGAAACAAGGATGAACTATTTCTATTGGCTCAGGAGAGGGTTTCTATCCATTGAGGTAGGAAGGGCTCAGCATCAGGAGAGTGTGTTGGAGAACAGCTGCTCAGATCTCTGCAGACAGAAAGCAGAGGACACAGCAGAACCAGGGGCTAGACTTTAAATTCCACAGGCCCATCTCTAGTGGTAAGTCAGATCTCTTAAAGGGTCCACAGCCTCCCGAAACAGGGCCCCAAATGGGAAGCAAAAGTATAACACATGAGCTTGCCAGGGCCTCCTTCAGCTCCAGAACACAGCATCAATCCCTGACGGGAGGAATAATACCTTGACAAGAATCACAAAGACTTCAGGAAGCTTTATAAACACATGGGTCCACGCATGTGCAAGTGCTAACTGACCTAGTTGAGCAGAGAAACAGCTCTAGGGCCATCCGTGGTACAGTGGTTTAGTTTGTAAGCACTCTTTCTTCATGATGCTGGGGACCTGGCATATGCAGGTGAGCACAATGCTGTCTGTTGCTGCCCTTGTCCACACTCCCAGTGGCTGGCGCTCTTCCTCCCCTCCCCCCACCTCTCCCTCTCCATTGTTAATGTGGTACTACTGACGGTAGGATAAACCATATGAGTGTGCACAATGCTAAGTGACTGTCCTGTCCTCACAGCCTCCACCACCAGGAAAACCCTATTTTCAGTTCACTGCATTCGATCTTTCTGTGTAATCTGTGCATGTCCAAGAATATGAATATACATTTCATTTTACAATAAGCACATAGCAGACACACTTTCTTTTTTGAGACCTTGTCTCACTGTTTGCCAGTTTGTCCTTCTCGGCTCATTATGTAGTCTATGCTGGTCTGAAACTCATGCTTCAGGCTCCAAATGCTGGGATTATAGGCATACAACAATGTGCTTGACTATAAAACTTTCTTTTTAAAGCTTGACATCTGGGTTTGGAGACAAGATTCGGTGGTTAAGATTGTTAGTCCTATAACCAGAACCCTAGTTAGATTCGCAGCACAGATGTCAGGTGGTGCACAGCTGCCTAGAACTCCAGTTCCAGCTGTGTCCTCTTCTGGCTTATGCTTGCAGGATCCCTCCAGCGCGAGTGCACATGCGCACGCTCACACACACACACACACACACATGCACACACATACACACACATACATGCACATACATGCACATACACGCACATACACACACATACACGCACATACACACACACACATGCACACACATACACACACATACACACATGCACACACATACGCACATACACACACACACAGAATTAAAAATGAAACAGTTTGTTTTTTAAAGGCAGCACTGTCGTAGCTCACTGTATGCCATTAAACATAAGTTTGGGAGACATTACAGCTTCTGCCCTCCTGTTTTAAGAATATATCTCCTGTGAGCTATCAGTGTTGTAGAATTTTGCTTTTGCACTTAGTTATTCCAGGAATTTTAAAGGCTTTTTGCCTGGTTCTAGATCTTTAGTATTTTGACTTTCCAGCGTTATAGAACACTTTTCCCACCAGCTGTTCTTTGTGGTGTCTCTTTTCTGAGCTCTCGTGTATTTTCGTTTCAGAAATGGCTTCATTTCCTCTCCCACTGAACTTCACCAGCTCATTTTTATATTAATTTCCCCCACCTCTTAGCTGGAGCCTCTCTCTACTCTTTGTCGTCATACGGAGATGTGTTGTTTCCACCACCATCCTTACGTGCACAGGGCCTCCTGCTTCCTCTGCACATGTGTGCCATGTGTTGGCCATGCTTTTCCTCCTTTGCATTTCTTTTGATTGGTCACAGCCCAGTTCTTGACAGCTCATTGGCCCTGTCTCTGGAGCTCACTGTTGGCTGGTGCCTGCCATTGGAGAGGGGCTGTCATTGAGTCACAGAGTGGAGTTATTTCTGGGTCTTGCCTCTTGTTTCTGAGCCTTTTTTCATTAATACTCCAGACCAGTGCAGTCTGGACTGTCTAGCAGCAATGCATAAGCCACAGTGTCTCTTACAGTGACCCAGCATTTCACACACTTCTGTCCACTCCAATCAGCAGCCCCAGACCCAGCCTGGTGACTGTGAATCAGGCTGTGATGGTCAGATTTTGATTTCTGTGACTTGGGACGATAATGTTCAGACTCTTCTTCTCTCTTCCCTCCCCCTTCTCCTCCCTCCCCTCCCCTTCCCCTCCCTTCCCTTCCCTTTCTCTCCTCCCTCCCTTCTTCCCTTGCTATCTCCACCCCATTCCCCCTCCACTTCCCAGTCCCCACTCTCCTTTCTTTTCTACTCTTTGAGACAGAGCTCACTGTACCACAGGCTGGCCTTGAACTTGCAATCTTCTTGCTTCTGCCTCCCAAGTGCTAGGATTCGGAGTGGGAACAACACTGGGTTTGTTTAGGCTCTCTCCATAGCAGTTCTGCAGCTGAGAATGGGGAGCATGCCTCTTGGGGTTGCTTTGAGGGTTAAACCAAAACACTCTGGCACTCACTGGAGAGACAGTACTAACGTAGGCGGTCAGCACCACTGTGGCTGAAGCCAGGCCCGGTTCCTTTTCTGGGTCCTGCTGGAAGGCAGTCTTTAGTGATCACAGAGTGACCACATATCTCTTGTGATGGCCCCTGAGCTGTTCTTGGCTTGGCTGAACCCTGAGACAGCTTAAATAGAATGGATTCCTTCCTCTGCTTCTGTATCAGGACTAGATCCATTCCACTATGCTGAACAGACGCTCAGAATGTCCTGGGCTCAGGCTTGGAACTCTTTTGCAATATCCAAAGATGGCTTTTCCTTTTGATGTTTTCACCTTAACTCCAGAAGGAGCGCAAGGCAGAAGTATCCTACTCCTACAGGTGTCCCTCCCTCACCCTTCTTCAGGGCTGAAGACTGAACCTAGGTCCTTGTGCTTGCTAGGCAGCAGTGTGCCACTGAGCGAAATTCCCAGTCCCTTGAAGGTGTCTTTAAGAGAGGTTTATGTTAAAAATTTGAAAAGGAAATTAAGTTTGAACTGGGAAGTTTGTCCTATTATGCACCATGTCTTGTTTTATCTCCTATCTTCTACATTAAACCAATATGTATTAAGGGGTGGCTATCCACCAGCCCTTCTCTAGGGACACAGAGGCACCAGTGAACGATTCTTAGGCTGGCTTGTGGACTCTGCTCACTTGGGGTGACAGAAAAATGTCTAGGCATATAAATAAATGTCATAGGCCCTGTGTTACAGTGTCCCACGAATAGAGACTTAGATCAAGTACTCTGGCACATGGCCACAATGCTGGAGAGTTAGCAGCCTGTCCAGATGTTTACCTCAGCAGCCCTGGCAGAACATCAGTGGGCCCTGCTGTTTCCAGTGATCTTATGCCCATTTACCTGAATGAAACCATGCATACTGTTGTTTCTATGAGGTTATGTGAGACCTAAGAGGAGGGACCACAGGTGGTGTCTTAGTTAAAGTTTTACTGCTGTGAAGAGACACCATGACCAAGGCAACTCTTATAAGGACGACATTTAATTGAGTCTGGCTTACAGGTTCAGAGGTTTAGTCCATTATCATGAAGGCAGGAGCATGGCAGCATCTAGGCAGGCATGGTACAGGAGTTCTATATCTTCATCTGGAAGGCTGCTAGCAGAATACTCACTTCCAGGCAGCTAGGATGAGGGTCTTAAAGTCCACACCCACAGTGACACACCTACTCCAACAAGGCCACACCTCCAAATGGTGCCACTTCCTGGACCAAGCATGTACAAACCACCACAGTTAGGAAGATATTCTAAAGAAGGTGATGTCTAAGCTGGTCTTGAAGGTTCCCAGAGAGGGCATGACGGAGAGTATATGCTCTCTAGCTCCCCCTCTCATCGGGGATAAGAAACACAAACAAGTCTGGAGGTGTGTTGTGGGGTCTGTGTCTCACCGAGCCCAGCACTCAGGCTGACTGCCCACCAGAACCAGGTGAGGGATCAGCAACACATGATACAACACATGGTATCATCTGTGCAGAAAAGAAGGGACAGCTGAGCTCTCGCAGTGACATTGCCCCTCTGGGCTGCTGGGAGGCTGCAGAGCCGAGATAAGCAGGGGTGAGCGGGGCTGCCCGACGGTGGGGGAACCCACCGAGCAGGCACCTGGCAGCTTTGCCACCTGGACATTTGCACTTCATCAGATAAGTGTGGTGCTTGCGCCCTTTTAGTGCTTAATGCCAAATAATCACATGGTCCCTTCAGGACTCAGGAGCAGGGGGAGAGCATGAAAAAGGTTCCATCAAGGACAACAAAAACTCTGGCTGCAAAAGTAAAAGAGGATTTGACCCTATGTTTAGTGTGCTGGTCTCCGGGGACCCTCTTATTTCTCATACTACGTGGAGAGAAGTGTTATCTTGGGTTAGCATGCGTCTAGTAAGCAGAAGGTCTGGATCCAGACCCACAGAGCCCTGGATTTGGAGCCTCTGACCCTTTGTGTTGCTGAGTGTTTCTGGAGGTTACAGCTCCTATACCTCCATGCAACTGTCCCTGGCTTGTATAGCCAGGATTCACTCCCCAACTGACCATGCCCTGGATTTTCATTCCATGTATACGTTAGAGACAAAGGGATTTTGAAAAGGCAAAGCTAGAGTCTACAGACTGAGGACCTCTCATGTTCCTGCTTGGTAACCCTCAGTGTACCTAAGAGCCATGGGAAGTAGGTTTGAGGACAAAGGAGGCCAAAGAGGCATTAAAGAGGCTTCTGTGCCCTGGGAACTAAAGACAACTTCCTTATTTAGGCAGTTTGCCCTACTAGGTTATTGTTGGGGACACTGGGGAGCCAAGGGTCCTCTGTCTTTTGGAGGCCATGGCCCCCATTCCCCCAGCAGAGAAATGATGGCGTACATTGTGGAGTCAGCAGAAGTGAGGCAGATGTGAGGTCATGCCTGAGCTGTTTTGGATTAAGTACCTCAGGAATGAACGCTGAGAACTTCTGTTTCTCCTCTATATGATTTCTGAGATGCCTTCTAGATAAGAACACTACCAACTGAGGTACTGGAGCTTTCTTGACTCCTTTATTTAATATCTGTCACCACTAAGTGAAATCAATGTGACTTTCCCCTCAATCCTACCTCTAACAACAGGGGAGCAATAACTGTGGCACCTGAGTGTCTGTGATGAGTTCTGCTCCTGTTCCACGCGTGTCCCCACCCCCACCCCCGAGCCCTTACTATAGCCCTCTGGGGTGGCCACCATTGGACTTACCATAGAGCTGAAGAAATGAGGTATAGAGAGGGAAGCAATCACTCCAGGTTAACACAGGTCACATGCCAAGGATGGCCGAATCTCCACAAGATACCCTAAAACAGTGGAGTTGAGAAACCTTCCAGGACGCTGAAGCCATGGAGGTGCTGGGATGACAGAGACCCCACAAACCTTGCCCTAAGTGGCTCTTCCATTTAGCTCTTTCCCAGACATCTCCTTTATAATGTAAGGAAAGTGTTTCTCCAGACTCTTCAATTCCTTCTAGCAAACTGTGGAGACTGAGTGTGAGTCGTGAGACCCTCCGGAATTTGTAATAAGCTGAGAAGAAAGATAGGAAGAAGAACTTTCCACGTGTCTACAGAGGGGCAATCTTGCTGCACTGAGATGTTAGTTAACTCACTGTGTCTTATACTAACACCAGGCGAATCATGCCAGCACCCAGCTCATCCTGCGTCCGGGTGTTCATCTGGTGTTCAGGCACTGGGAAGTTCAGCTAGGTATCCTGCCACATGCCTTTAATCCCAGCACTCTGGAGGCAGAGGCAGGTAGATCTCTGTGAGTTCCAAGCCAGTCTGGTTTACAGAGAAAGTTCCAGGAAGCTAGAGCTATACAGCGAGGCCATGTCTTAAAAAGGTGTGGGGGTGGGGATGGAGTTGGTTGCTGTGGGGAAAGCCCCACCCATCGAGTGTGCCACAGAGCAGACCTCTGGGATACTTAGACACATCTAAAGTGAGTTAATCCAAGTTTACCCAGCAAGATGTGGATGATTTTCATCAAAAGATTTTTTTTCCTCCCAAATAGATGGTCTATTGTTTACTTGGAAGTGTTTCAGACCTCACAGTATTACTCTGCCTTGATTCCTCTCCAGACCTCCCTTCACCTCTGCCTGGGTCCACCAAAGGACCTCCATTAAACCTCTGCACTGGGTATTGGCTTGCTTCACGCACCGTCCCACTGCACACAATGAGGACAGGCAGGGAGTGCTGGCCCTGTCTGTAATGGGTGTGGGAACTGATGTTTGTGCTTTTATTTATAGCACACCTTGAACATAACCACCAAGAGTGTCGCTCTGGCTGTATTCCTGCCTGATGGAAGTAGTGTTACAGTGGAAGTTCTAACGTCAGATACGGCTGAAAGGGTACTCGAGGTAAACTTTTGAGGAAGCCAAGGTATAGCCCATCCTCAGGGACCTTGATTTTATCCTTCCTGAGACCTCTGGGGGTTTTCCTAAGGTTGTGGCTACCTCCCTGGCGTCCACCAGGCTAGGCCCTGGCAATTTAGAGAAGACTCTCTCATGAGGCCGCATGTGTGGGAGTAGGGTGTAGGGCAGTGCCTGGCGGAGTCTGGAACAGCCATACCCAAGAGGGCAGGGGAAGGCCCTGCCTGCAGAGGGCAGCAGGGGAGTCCTTGAAGACTCCTTTCACACACAGGAAGCTCTAGAAGCCATGTCCAGAAGGTCTAATGCCGAGCTCCAAGGACCTGACTTGAGCTTGAGTCATTTAGAGGATGACAAAGATGAAACCCTAGAGCATTCTCTTCTCTGTGCTTCAGATGTGGCCATCAGCCACTCCAGCTCCTTAGCCTTGTCCCTCTGCCCAGCTGCACTGCAGGGGGGTGCCGTCTTCTCAAGCCAAGCCTTAAACGTGTAGGCTAGGTGGAAGAGAGCAGAGGAGAGTGGTGGCCTGTGGCCCCTGCTAAGGAAAACTGAATGGAGGTACATTTGTGGGTGTTGTTGTTGTTTTGTGAGACCACATTTTAGTAGTAAGCATAAAACCACAGATGTTGAGATCAAAGTCATTGATTTCAAAGAGGAACATCCTGGACCTGGTGTTGGAGGTTTTCATGGAGCCACAGTTGTTAACTTAATGGTTTACACTGGACCAAAGTCACAGCAAATCACACTTGACCATGGCAGGATGCGTCACAGAGAAGCAGGCCTAGGTGTCAAAATGGGACACAGCATGTGCACTTTTATACACCACTGAGTAGTGAGAAATGCCTTTTGTTTAGTGCATATAGGAAGGCAAGCCACTGGATGCCAGAAAACAGATGTTTGTGGAGAATGCTGCTGTTCTCTATCAGACCATAAACTCTAGGACAGTCCAGAACATATGTCTACACCCAAGGCAGGACAGCCAGCTTCAGTGGGGCCCAGTTGGCACTGATTTTGCCTTTATTCACTTTGAATTTCTATCTTCCTAAGATTTCTAGAACCAATGTTTTGTTAGCTACTTTTCTCAATGGCCCAACAGAAACGGGTTCAGGGAGGATGGCTTTGCTTTAGTTCTTGGTTGTGCCTCCATTATGGTGCAGCTTATGATGACAGGGATGAATAGCTATGACTCCTCATGACACAGTGGGTCTGAAGCACAGAATCTGGGCCAGAAGCAAAACTGGCCTAGATGCCTCAGGTCCCAGCCCTGTGAATTTGCAATAGCATCATGGCCAACAGTGTCTATAATCTCCAAATTCAGTGCTTCCTGCTGGCTACCAAGAGTTCATGACCCTGCCATTTCAGATTCAAACTATAACAAGTATTGAGCCATTTTTAGATTCCTAAATGTTTCTTTGCATGTCTGCTGGCCTGAAAAAGAATTCACTGTTGGTGTGCTCCAGACCGTTCTATCCTGAAGCCACAGCCCGCAGGTATGGTTATGAGTTCAATATTTCCCCTTTGCTTGTCCTTGTTAAGGTGGTGGCGCACAAACTCGGATTGCATCCAGAGCTGGTGGGCTACTTCGGCCTTTTTCTCATCCGGTGTTTCCTGGAGGGCAAGCTCTCTGGTAAGACAGAAAAGGAGAACCCAGGATTAGACAGGTGTGAGCAGGGGCTTGGCATTGGGGTGTTGAAAGTACACACTGGGACTGGATAGTACTCACAGGGACTGGCCACCCTTCAGGTTGTGGTTTCTACTGCTATCTTCAGCCCTGGATCAAAAATTTGGAGAATGTAACCAGGTGTAGTGGTGCTCACTGTTAATTCCAGCATTTGGAGGTAGAGGCAGACAGATCTCAGTGAGTTCAAGGACAGCTGGGTCTACATAATGAATTCCTGGACAGCCAGAGCTACACAGTGAGACCTTGTCTTAAATGAATAGACTATTTGGAGAATAACAGACTGTGTCATTGTTCAGAGACAGTGTGTCCCCAGAGAGGTAGCATGTCATTTCAACTTCATGTTATAGTGATATACTACTTGATAGAAACAGCATAAGGAATTAGTCATTTTTCCCCCATGACAGGGAAAGCAACAGGGGGCAAGGCAGAGCAGTTCACATCATAGTAGATAGGGGGAAAGGCAGAGCAGTTCACATCATAGTAGATAGGGGGCAGAGCGGAGCAGTT